CCACACTACTACAGTGTTCACTGTACTGTACTGAGTACTCACTACTGTAGTTACTAGTGACAACTCCCCAAAATGGACACTGCCGACCGTACAATTTCCCTATCCACCATCCATACCAACGCCCCAATGTACATTCACCATCTTGAACTTAAAGCTGAAGCCTCCTCGTCCTGCTCATATCAACCAATTCCGTATGCCATCTCGTTATCACTTTCCTTTTCAACAAGAGTCCTTTCTACCTTTACACCACTCTTCCCCTCCTAGTCCGGCGCTAGCTCTTAAACAGGGCAAACGGGCTTTTTGGGTGTGTGAGGTTCGAGCGGCTGTTGACTCCGAGGCTCCGAATCTCCGACTGTGGTCCAGTGTGGGGCGCCAAAGTGGACGCTGCCCGTTCGCGGTGGGCCGCAATTGGGGACGGTGGAAATGGAAAGTCAGAAGAACCGGGGCTGGGAGAAGAGAGAGAGAGAAGTCGAAGGGAAGGGGTTGAGGTCTGTATGGGAAGGCTGTTTAGATGAGATACGAGGGATGAGCTTGGTAGAGATTAAACGTGGAGTGAGGAATGAGACGATACGTTTCTATACTCATAGAAGCTTTAATTAAAAATTTCGGATTCTACAGTGGCCGCGTGATATGTATTATGGAATATGATATTATAGAATTCCTTATTAATAATGTCTTGTGTATTGTTGTAAACTACAGAGTATCCCGCACTTACAGTACCTTGGAACTTTCCGATGGAAGAGGCGCCGACGCAGTGCGTATTCATAATTCCTTAGTGTCTCGCTGTCAGTTTACTTGCAACAAAGTTAACTTGACTCGGAGGGCCGTCGTCGAGCCAATCAAACACTGTGCAGCCGATCTAGTTCGGTCTGAACCGATTGATTGGACCAGATGGGGCCATCATGTCATGTAGTCAATAGTCATTCTGCAGTGTGCGATACCAAAGTACAATACTGCTGTACTTGTCATAAACTAGTAGGCAATAGGCATTGTAGAATGGTAAATGACTTTCTTCATCTCCAGCGTCGGATGAACAGACAACCCTCCCCCCCCCCCTCTTCACAACCTTAACCTTCTTCCAATTCCTCGGTGGTTCTGTTTCGGCCGTCTCCTGCCACTTTCTTCCTCCCCGGCCTTTGCTAGTCTAAACTTTCGTCTTAGTCGGCTGGTCTGACTCGAGCTCGAGAGACGCTGGTCCACGGTTCACGCGGATCATCGACTTTTACTCTTCCGGGTTCAGAGCGCTCTGGTCCGTCACTTTACCCCTTTTGGTGCTAGTGCGATGGACGATGGCGGCGGTCTGTGTGTTGGTGCTGTAATTTGTACAACATTGATTTACTGATTGCTGTAGCTGTGAGTTAGACTTGGAATTCAGGAATCTATGCTTGTAAGGTACAATCATACAATTTAGTGAATGCAGGCAATGCAATAGGCAGTAGGACTAAGCACATCATATGCTGGCTCGATCGTAAACGAAGTAGAAAGTTGTCTGTCACCCGGACTTTGAGTGATGTCTCTTGTGTATCCAGTGATCCACACTCTCAAGAACAACCGTGAATGTGACCTTTCTGATTGTATTGTGTATGTTATCATATTATTCCAAAGATACCTTTGTAAGTGAAGAGTCTCAAGAAACCAAATGTCCAAACCTCGAGGGTCGAAATGCGCGCAGTCACACGGTAGTACTGTACCTTATCCGTTTCTCAATTCTTATACATTTGTGGTACTCGCAGCAAAGCCTCGGAGATCGATGGAAGCAAGGCTCCAGAGGCTGAAAGCATGCCATGATGCTGTACATTAAAAGGTCCATGACTACTCGTAGTACTAGACACTCGACTGGTAGACCACTAGACCCTGCATGCCCCACCGATTCCCGATCAAGAAAATGCCACCCGTTTTTTGCCTTGTCCGTCCGTGACTGACTCGAGCGACAGCATCTCACCGATGAATCAAAGGTGCAGGAGCAGTACTGAACTAGACACTAGACTATTGGTAATTTAGTACTCCTAGCTGAACGAGGTGAAATTCTTCCTGCAATCGTGTCGGCTGATTCGAGGGTGGCAGTCCTTGGTGCCGACCTTACGATTAGTCCCTCTGATCCCGCCGAATATGCAGGATGATGACAGATTGACCAGGGCTGAAGAATCGACGAGGTCGGGTCTGTATCTCCTGATCCACTTCTTGACTTCTTCACGAGTGTCTTTCCCTCCGAAATGTCATCATGATCATGCGGGACCGGGACTTGGCGATACTTTTTATTGTACCTTATCTTTGCTTTTTTTTTTTTTCTTTTTCAAATGCATTCTTGACTGATCCAGTCCCTCGCCTATGTGTGTAGATTGTAGTCATTGTATATCTGTACTTGTACAAGTTGAAAGAAAAAACATTGTACAATCACATACCTGACCTTGTATACATGTACACAATAGTGACAATACACACCTTTGCATCGATCGTCCTGGCCCCATCCGCTACCCGTCGATTTCTTGATGGTTGCCCACTTGCCGTGGTGTTCGAGATTCCGCCCCCTAATCCGGCCGGCTTTCTGGGCCTGACCTCGACAGGTGAGTCTCGGTCTGATGGATTCGTTCGTGACGAGAGATGATAGTCACCTCGTCCACAGTCCACAGTTCCCTACAGGACGAGCTCGTATCTGTGATCCCCATCGTGTTTACGATCGTCAGGGCCGGCAGATTGCCTCGACCAGCCCTTTCAACCTTGAGGGTCAGAAAGTGGGGAAATGATCTGAAGCACGTTCGTGTATGGCGCACCACGCAGAACTGAGATTATCTCTGTCTCTCTCCCTGCCTGTTATGAATGGGGGATTCGAGATGATTATCACTTTGGCAGATTGAGGAAGAATGGTGCTATTGAAGAAGGGTTGAAGAAGTGAATGATGATGGGGACATCCTTGGCAGACCTTTTGGAGCCTGGCAGATAGATACTGTATAAGTGTATACAATTATACTCTTTAATGTCACGTGAGAAAGTAACTCGCCATTCTTCAGATCATTTAAGAGTTTACAGTACATACCAGATACACAAGAAGTGATGCAGTTGCCTTTTGCTTCCCATTAAAGACCCCCTGCACGTCAGAATTCCCAGTCCAGAGTACGTGCGCAGTTGCGACCATCGAGCATGCATCTGGCTGGTTCCCGATTCCCCTTGGCTCTCCACAGTCAGGACCTGAATCCTTGGATCGTTAGATCAGTTCTTCGTTTCTAAAAACAAACTGCTATCTTGCCTCTTCAGAAGGTTTGCTTTGGGCCAATATGCACTCATCATCCTGGAACTGGACAGGACCAAAGTTCAGTGCCAGGATCCGTCGAATTGTACCAGCGTACCACGCGCCAACAAGCTCAGGTGGGCCGTCTTCGTCGAATCCATCGAAGCGACCGCCCCGGCTGGCCTTGCAAACCTTATCAAGTGCAGTACTGTACCTGTTTCGTACATCTCGGGCTCTTTTTGTCACTCTCGCATCCCGAGTGACCCACTCTGTGTCCAGTGACCCACTATCCACTGGGTCAGACCATCTTCCATCTCCCGATCCACTTTGCACGGTTCAACTACCTGGTGTACACGGTAGACTTGTATGTGGAGCAAGTCTTTCTAGTTTCCAGCAGCGCATAAAAGAAGCACTCGAGCGGACAGTATGCACTTGTGGGACGGGCTTGGTACGGTCCGCGGGCGTCCTGAACTCAAGACGCTCAACCAATCTTTTCCGGTGTCTCCTGATCGTTTCGAGGCTGATGGGGTCAAAGTCCAAACTTGATTTCGCAGACCACTTGGGGGATGTGTGGAATTGGACGGAGTAGGCTTAGTTCTGCTTTTACACTTGTCTATTATCACGGGACTGGAAATTGCTCGATTCTTGTTTTCTCTTCTTGTAGGACTATATACAGGATATTGTTGCTTGCGAACAATGGCATGATCTTCCACCTACAGTAGGACGCACTACAGAAGGCAACTTTATTCGATTACAGTATTACCGTGGTGTTTGGGACAACCCCATTCATGCCTTCGAGGTCGAGGCTACTACTAGGCTAGAGATACAATACATAGTACATACTGTGCTACATATACTGGTGTGTTAGCTGTAATTTGTAACATTGCACAAATGTACAATGTGGATGTACAGTACAGTACAGCTTGTTCTGATCTCGCATTGGCTGTTGGATGATTGGATACATTGGATAGATATGGATTACACTTTACAGTACGTAACTGTATGTAATGCATAGTGGACTCGCTGGATGACTGGACGGTGGGCACTGGGAACTGGAGACTGGAGTCTCCCGCGAGTCCTGCCTCGTCAATTACTTATTACAATGTAATAAGTACGTTACAAAAGTGAACTGATCATACGGTATCGTTTCGATGGGTCCTTGGGTCTTCCTCCGCAAAAAGAGACATCGCGGCTCCACTTTTCCCCGAATCCGTCAGCGCATCCGCAGCGCATTCCATCACGCCTGTTCGTCGCCGAACTCCATCTTGCAGGAAACTCGTGCGCTGCGTCTCGGGCCTTCTCGTTCGTTTCCTGCAATCTGCTTCCAGAACCCAGACAACCTTGATCATCTTCAAGATACTGTTCTCGTCCGTCGTGCACTCCTCCAAATCTCCCCCTTCCTCGCTCTTCCTTCTCGTTGTCCCACACCTATTCTACCTTAACTCGCGCGCCTCTCTCTCCCTCTCTCTCTTTTCCCAACTCTTCTACTCCGCCGCCCACCCTTCCCCCCCCCCCCCCCCCCCTCCTCTCTCTCTCTCTCTCACTCATTCACCCTCCTCCCACTGTTCCTCACCCTCTCCATACTCTTCGCTTCCCTCTGGCCGGCCCTACAGATCGCTCTGTCGCTCTTCTTTCGACCCTCTAGTACTCTCTTGGTGTGCGAATCCTGTCGTTTACGTCCCTCGGAGAAGCCAGCTCTATCGCCTCTATAGACTGTCGTCACGCTGTTCTTCCAATATCCTTGCGCATCATTTATAATCCCAGACCTCCCGCCATGGAGGGCTTCGATACCATGACCATGCCGCCCTTTCTGGCCAGTCCCCTCTCCCTCGGTAATCTGCAGGCCACCGATTATCTCAATGCCATGCCTGGTCTAGATCTTCCCGATCACCGGTCAAATTTCGACACCGAAACGTTCGTGAGGTAGGTGGTTTTTGTCTGACTAGCGAGGCCAGTCCTTGTGTTCGTACCTTGTCGTTTGCACAACATCGACCAGAGAACTTTCCCCCTCGGACGATCTTCATCTTTGACAGCCTCTTCGTTCCTTGCTTTCTACAATGCTCCAAAATCATTCACGTCGGCTAGATGGTGTGGAACAAGTCTTGCATCTGGGTCGTCAGAGCGCTGATACTTTCCCCATTTCCCTTCTACAGCGAGGACCTAGCTTTCAATCAGAATAGTCTGTCGCATTCAATAAAGCGCTTCTCTACCGGTTACGATGACCCGTTTAACGAGATGGTCACACCCTTCGATCCTGTACCCCAGGAACAGCAACAGGATTCATCCATCGACCACAATAATAAGTTGCTGAGCTTTTCGATCCCCGTCTACCATTTCACGCTGCTTGACTATTCCATGCGCCGCACCTCACTCTCGGTTTCGGCCCAATTACATGGCATGTTCTTCTTAGCCGAGTCGCCCTTCACAACCTCCCCATCTGAGAACCCTCCGCCTCAACTCGGTGCCGAATTGACTTGTTATCGCCGGAATCTCTTTCAGATCACCGGATCCGTCACTCTGCCCCGGGGAATGCGTTATATCATGACCGACCAGGGTGATCGTATCCCCATTCTTGCCCAAGAATTGACCGTGTCGGCGACGGAATCGGTGGAAGGAAATCCGGTGAAGATCATCTCTGTTCCGTGGAAGACCCCCGCTGCTGCTGCAGCGGCCGCCAACCCGGGGACCACGCTCGAGGACTCCATACCCAGTGGTGCGGCCAAAGTTGAGAAAGAGCCACCACCAATTCCGTTGGATATCATGGCTGGTCAGGATCTGGACACGGATTATGCGACCTTTCCTATCGCCTGGAAGCGGTTACAGTTCCGGGTCGCAACCGCGAACAACGGTCGACGAAAGGAATTGCAGCAGCATTTTGTTGTGCGGCTCAAGGTCGTCGCAACGTTATCCACAGGAGCAAAGATTGCCATCTCTGAGGTCCAGTCGGGACCCGTCATTGTTCGTGGCCGCAGTCCTCGCAACTTTCAGTCTCGAAAAGACCTCCCTCTCAGTGGCAGTGCCGCTGCTTCCCGTAAGAATCAAGCCAATGCTGCCGCTGCTGCTGCCGCTGCTCTCAACCGCACACCAACCAGTGAATCACTACCACGCCGAGCGAGTGTCACTCCAGCCAAGAACAAGGCGGGCTCGGCAACTGCTCACAGCAGTTCGCCCGAGACTTCCTCGGTGCCCCCTCCGTCCATGATACAACCACCCCCCACGCAACCGGCGGGTGATTGGACCCCGATCCCCCCTTCCAGCTCCAGCGCCGTCTTGCCTCGCCAGTCTCTGTACCCTCATTCCAGTCCAGAACAAATAACTCAGGTTGCCGACGCGCAGCGCCGCGTGAGCATGGCGACGACGGCAGCAGCATCTTCGGCGCCGATCAACTTGTCTCTCATGGATGACGACGCTGCAGGCAGCAGTCACGATACGGGGCTGCATCTCGGCCAAAAGATCTTGCCTCCCTACAATCCCAATGACATGTCTCGGCAAAGGTCCATCAGTATTGATCAATCTGCTGCCGCCCAACCTCCAGCAAAGATGCGCAAAACGTCCCATCCGATGTCACACCATTCCGCCCGCAGTGCCACGACGACATCCTCTGCTTCACTACCGCTGCTGGAAACCGCAAATCTTCCCCATCAATTTGTCTCCTCGTTACCTTTCCCCAACGAAGGCACAGATTTCCTGTATGAATACTTCCCGCTCGGACTGGATGATTGGCAAGCTCCCGTGGACGCTGTATATCGGCCTCATGTGGTTCACCACACGACTATGCCTGAGATGAAGCTTGTTGCAGGTGCTCGAGGCCGAAGTAAACGCTACTTTGCTGCCGAAGATGTTTTCTGAACAAGCTACGCCCAGGTTTTTTTTTTTTTTGTTCTTCTTTCTTCTTCGGTCCTATCTTTGCGTCGGCCCTTACACATCCCGATCCGGTCTCTTCACTCGACAGATCTTGTTATGAATGGACTAACGGCGAAATCGTACTTTATCATCATTCTTCAAAGGACGGGTTTTTCGACAACCTTTTCCCTTCTCTGAATCTTGCTGCGCTCCCTTGATAATCCTTGCCGACCAGGTGTCCTCTGCGGGTTACAATGTTCCGCAAAGATGGATTATTTTGCTATCATCCTACATTCTAACTCTTGGGGTTTCGCGAACGTTCTAGGTGTTTTTTTCTTTCCTTTATTTCCCCCACTTGATTTCCCCGCTGCAGGTTGGAAGCGAGGCGGTACTGGGTCCATTCCTTCTGTCAATGTCTTATAATGTATTTGCTTGCCCACTCCTTCGCGGACAAGCTTCTGCGGAGCGACTCGTCGGTCCGCGGAAATCTTTAACTACAGCTGGGCGTGTGGGCGTTTTTATGGTGCACTCGATTTGCGAAAAACGGGCGAGTGTAGCGGCGTTACTTGGTCATCTGGGCGGTTGAGGAGTCTCTCTCTTACTCTTGTCTTTTCCCCCATTCTCTTCATGTTTATGGGGGCTTTTGAAACCTTGCTTTTGTTTTGTCAAACGTCTGTCGGTGTTGGTGTTTTCTTTTTCTTTCTCTTTTCGACCATTGATCTCGTTGAACTTGTTAGCGGGTCGGAACGGGATCGTGAAAATCGAGCTATGCTCTTTTCTGTCTTGTGAGAGATACTGTTTTGATATGATGAGAAATTAACAGTACTTCTGTCTTACGTTGATGCTTTCGGGTTAGAAAGAGACCGTTTTAGTTCCTCTTCGAAAATACTGATACAGGACGTAGAACGCTTCTCTCCAGTTCGACAGGTTGAAGGAATCGACGTTCGATGTTCGACGTCCGGAGCTAATAATTCGTCCGTACTACCTTCCAAGCTTCTAGAGAAGATCGCTGTTCACCCGGTCTCACGGCTAGATACCTATTTTGCAGCATTTCGCCTCAGGGCTGTCCTTACTTCTGACTACTTCCCAGAGTTTCACCAGGGCCATGAGCGTGTTTCGGGCCCGGCGCGCCCATCTAGAAGGATTCGAATTCGAGATGACTGGAATTACCCAATGTACTGCTAATGATGATGGTCGTTGGGTAAGTACCTACTATGAGTTGGAAGGTGACGAGATGGGTCTCTAGATAAAATGGGCTTTTGGTGACGTTGGGGGCTCAGGATGATTCTCTAATGAACGATTCGGTAGCCGGATTTCGTTTTCTTCGAGAAATGTCTTTACTTCTACGCTTCGTTTTGTACACACGCTTTGTTTTTGGCCCGTTTCAATCTGATGAATGGTTTGATGCTTGATGCATGAATAGAGGTTTTTATTTCGGGGAGAAGGAGAGGGTGTGTCATGTTTCTCAGGATCCATGCTCGTGTACGTCACAAATCACAAATACCCCAGGCCGTCACCGCCGATACTCTCCAGATCCCCGCGGATCTCCCACTGCGTGGCTCCCACGCGTCCCGAGATCTCCGCCTGTCGCTGCTTTCCCAGATTCAGCCACTGGCGCAACAAGTTCCCGTCTACCATTCCTCGGCCGCCGGTCCCGTCGCTTTCGACGGCCCGGAAGGCACGCGGGTTCAACCCGCACGGATGTTCAATGGTGTTGGTGAGTTGGGACTGTAGCGCCGACAATCGTCGGTAGGATTCTTCGGAGACGCTGGTGATCAGGGCGAGAGAGCCGTTCTGCGAGGCGAGGAGGACTTGGTGCGTGGCGTGGGGGGAGGGGCTGTCCGAATCGATCATCATGTCGTTTTGGGATGAGGTGTCGATGTTCTGGTGGTGGTGGTCTTGTTCGCTGGGGACGGCGGTGCGTGGGAGGAGAATCATTTGCGTGGCGAAATTGCCTGTGTAGAACTTGCTGCGGTGTAGGAGGCGGTCGCCGTTGGAGGATTTGGGGTCTGGATGGTTGGGGGAGGAGGAGTTAGTGGTCGAAGGACATGCCTTTTTGGATGTGATCCGCCGACGGTGCGTGTTTCTGGAGTAATCGTACCTTCTGGGTCGTATTGCAGCACATGTAGATTGCAGTCGCTGTCGGCAACAAGGATGTACAACTTGTTGCCATCTGGTAGGAATTCGGCCGACACCACCTCCAAGTATTCGGGGTCTTTGCCAAACAAGCTCATTTTGTAAGGCTCCTCCTGGAAAAAAAAAACAAAAAGAAAAAAAAAAGAAAATTGTCAGTAAATCATCGTTCTCTCGATTTGAGTATGAACCACACAATTCGCCCGGAGGGGAAAACGTACCGAATAACCAGCAAACCATATCCCCTTGACTGCATCCCCCAAAAGACACATACCAGTGCCCTTCAACTCCTTCGCAACGGAGACATAGCACGACATGTCCATGAACGCAACGGGCAGTAAACTGCCATCTTCCTTGAGTCCTCGCACCATGCACTTTTGCCCTTGGGCTACAATGATAAAACCCTGGCCTCCGATTCCGGAAAGCGCGGTCACGGCTCCCTTGACACTCTCTTTTCCAACCAGCTTGAGCTTGCGCCCGGTCTCTGGCTTCTCGGGATCCGGCACCACATTGATCACATCAAAGACGTAGATACATCCGCGGGCTGGAATATCCTCGCCCTTGACTATTGCGGTGCCCACCACGATGAGATTCTTTCGCTCGTGCGTGTTCTCAGAGATCTCCATGTTCACATTCTGCACCGCCGTGATATGCTCCGCTGCCTCCAATGGATACTCGTCAATTACAGTCCACGTCTCTGGGTTGACCACTTTCACTGAGCTGTGTGGAACATGTGGACAGAAGGTGATTGCTTCGTTGCGCCATTCGGGATGAAGCTCATCGTTATCTGGCAGTTTGAACTCGGCATCGTGACTAGTCCCCACAACGTAGGTGTTGGATGTTGTCGAGAAGGTCAAGTGATCAATCTGCTCATCCAGCGAGATTTTGCGAAGGGGCCACGAGTAGTCGAACTGTGTGCCACAAGGTAATTGACAAGCTCGAATCTGACTCGCAGAGTCAACGTAGATGAAACCGTGATCACAGCCAGATCCAGCCGAGTCATGTCCACTCAACCATCGAATGAAATTGCCCCGTAGACGCACCAAGTGTGGGGAGCTGGCTGCGGTTCGCATCACAAACCCTGCAGACGCGCCCGGCAAAAAGACCGTGCTATAGCCCGACACGTTTGACAAGACGCGCAGGGGCTTTGACTGCTGCTGCATCTCTACGGTTGAAGCTGCGGCCGCAGCGGTGTCCGTGAGGTTATGATTCGTTTCTCGGTGGAAACGAAGGCTTTTAGACGACCCATCGCCGTTGCTGACGGTGTGAAAGACGGGCTTGTAATAGATAAGTTCGTCGGTTTCAGTGCGTACCTGTCCTAACGTCAGCAGCAGGAACTCGAGCAATTGAGGGGTAAAATGATGCCTACGATGAGATAAGGTGATCTGATCCACTGGTCACCCAAGTCGGCCACGAGGGCCTCTTTCAAGGGTTCGCGATTATTACTTCGCCGTGGCGCTTCGGAGGACAACACTGGCTGCAGGCAGTCCACGCCATCAATGACGTCGAGCATTTTCATGTCTGTCAGATTGAAAATCTGTCGTTTCCAATTAGCACGTGGTGTTACCGCAGCCTTAATGTATCTGATAGGGGGGGGCCCTTACAGAGAGCTTGGAATCAATACTCAAGAGGAACAGCAAAGTATTGGCCAAAACGTCATCGCTGCCGTGTTCACTGGGAGCCGCAAACACGTGGCTGTGGTCTTGATAGAGCCTGGCGGACCGCCATTTAGGCCCGGAGAGCTCGTCTGGAATTGAGACTGCATCCAGATCGCCACTCTCATCACATTGGAGAAGTAAGAGAGCGGCATCGTCACGGATAATTGCAAGATACGGATCGGTGAAGCTCGCTGTGATGGCAATTCTCTCCTCCTCGACGTCTTCATCCCAAAGCGGGTAAATTTGAGAAAGTCCGAGATCTGTTCCCAAAAGTCAGCCCCATCGACCAACCTGTCCGAACATTCATGTCTGGGATAGCTCACCAATATCATAGCTTCGAACCTCGCTTTGCAGGACTTGCACAAGTCGCGTGGAATCCGCTAGTGGGCCAATGTCGATCGTGAAGTCCTCGTTCGGATTGAATTCCGGTGCTTTAATAGGGTTCATATCTTTTCCATCGACTTCCAGAATCTCAGACACCTCTCGGTTATCTGCTGTCGGTTTTGACACAATGATAAAGTGACGAGATTGACCACTCTCCGAACCGTCAGCACTCGGCTGGCCGCTCTTTCTGCCTCGATGCAAAGTTGTCGACCAAACGCCTTCCGCGTCATCAATCTTGGTGTTCATTTTAACGCAGGGGTCAACCTCTCGCTTGATCACGACCAAAGAACCAGATCTGCCAGACCCCGACGCTCCAACCAGTTCCAAGTCTGCCAGCACGTCGTCTTCGCCCGAATCTTTCTCTTCTTGAGAACACGAAGCAGGCTTGCCGAGAGTCAGGTCGCGCAAAGGACCGATAGACGATAATCGGTCATTCAAATGGAAATGATAAAATTCGGACGTGGGGTTTGAAGAAGACGCTCTTGGATCGGGTGCTGTGGAGTAAAGATCGTCTTCATACACATCTTCATCATCCATCAGGTCATCATCAGACAGATCCTCGATCCCGGTTGAGACCTGCTTCTTCTTGGATAGTGCAGAGGAACGAGACCATCCAAGAAGCACAGAGTCTGCATCTTCACTACCGACGAATACATTCCCGTCTTCAAAGCATGCCGAACACGAAGCCGTTGACTTCACAATATGCTCTCCGGTTTGCCGGGGAAGGGCGTGGAGTTTCATGCCAGATACTGACCGACCATCAAGCTTGAACCGAATCAACGCCATGTCTCCGGAGGCTAGAATGAGTAGAAGGTCACTGCTATCGCCACCGAGACGTTCCACAACGCAGTTTTCCAGGCGAAGGGACAAATCCGATTGATCACTCATCGAGAAAGAGGACATCTGACGTGCAAACTCGTTGACTCCTATCGCGTTTGTCTTGCCGGCTTGGTCCACGTGGACAACCTCGTTATTACCAATGAGAAGAGCACCCCCCACGGGAGGTGGGAGTGCTACCACTTTGAACAAATCACTGGGAAGTTTTGAGACCGAAAGAAGCGATGTTGATGCCCGTTGCTCCAGGTCTAGGGTGAAAACACCATAGGTCATCACGTCTTTGCGCTCGTTGATCAATGCACTTGAAGTGGCCACCTGAGAGTACACGATTCCAAATGTAGGCTCTCGGTATTCATAGAGAAACGCCAGGCTGACAGGATGGAGCAAAGCAGGGTCGAAGGCTGTCAAAGGCAGCACAAATGAGGCAGCGTAGGGAGTTCCATAAGTAGCGCCACCGCGATGCTGTCCATCCACGTGGTTCGCAGCAGATCCTTGACCATCGCTCAAACGTTCTCCGTCAAGTTCTGGGTCGTAGTCGTCCATCACGAGATCATCTCCGGCTTGGTGAAATGGCAGAATTGCCAAGTTCCTGATTCCAAAATTGAACACGGCGCATCGACTACTGGGATCCACGCTGAGAGCACTACCGCAGTTGCTCAAGTCAGGTACCCATGGACTTCTCGTCAGGTCATCTCTCTCATAGTAGTGAATCGAGATGGTAGAGATACCATGACGCTCAGGATCCCATTCTATCAAGCTCAGCTTCGCGTTGCGGACAGCTAGCAGGATTGCTTCACCACCACTCTTGGAATTCAGAATCTTCACTCTACTCAGGTCTGTTACCGTCCCTGGCAGTGGGTATTCTTTCTCCAGGATAAGCTTGGTCCTCGTCAGATGAGAATCGGTTGCTGTTGGAGTTGTGAGGTGGGTCTCCGCATTTTCATTTTGTCGTGGAGTCGGTGATGAACGCAAAGAAAACACCTGCAACAGAGAGGATCGAACGACAATCAAATTGTTCGATGTCGCAGACAGAAATGGAACAGCCAGAGCGTGGGTCACCCCCGATGGAGGAAGCAGCTCGGTATAGCACTGCATATTCAAGGTCCCTTTTCCTCACGCTCGATGATAAAGAAAATTGAATTTAACCAGTAATTAGCCGGTTAGATGGAATTGTACGAAGCTCAAATTTTGGGCATCATATGTCAAAAGATTCAATACGCCTCATAAGGTAACACCATCGACAGCTTGCCCGGTTAAGAATCTCATAAACAACAATCCCTCAGAAACGCATCGCAGGGCGCGACAGCGATAATCCAAGCCGATATGAATCACGTGGTGATAACCGTATCGGGTTAGCCCATGACGACAGTCGCGTCGGATCTCCATTCCCAGGCGCCATCAAGCTTAACTTATGTTGTAAGCTCCCCTCTCATTTGTCTTGAGAAGCCTGGAAAAGATTGCTATTTAAATCGTCATTTTACTCTATGTGAGACAACCTCCAGCTTCACCGTGCCTTCAACATGGCGCTCCTTCAAACTTCGCTCATCTGGATTGTCTATGCCGTCGTGATAGCAGCCTTGCTCGCGATAGCATCAGTCTTCATCTACATTTACCAAACGCCACGGGATCGCTCCCCTTCTGTGACCGTAACTTGTATCTTTGCAATTACTTGCCTTCTAGCAACCGTCCTTTTACTCCCGGTGGATGTCGCACTAGTTTCGTCAACCACATCGTCCAAGCTTGGTCGTCGCAAGGACTGGGCCTCGCAAGATGCTGTCGATCACATCACTTATTCTTTGACAATCGTCTACTATACCTTGTACTCTGCAGATGCGCTTCTCTGTCTGTTGGTGTTGCCATTCACCTACTTCTGGTACGAGGAGTATGATGAGGTCGCGGCGGAAGCAGGTGAACAGACGCTAGGATCTCGCCTTTGGGGTGCCTTCAAGTACACCTTGTTTTTCATCGCTATCGTGGTGATCATTTTCCTGGTCGGTTTCTTTGCGCCTGTGTCGAGCGACAAAGGCAATAAGGATCTGGACTACTTCAAGCGACTGCTGACCGAGAATCGTGAGTTTATTTCGATTCAGGCACTGGGGGTCATATCTAACGTTGTTTGTAGATGGTGAGCGTGCATTGACGTTTGCTCTGGGTCTCTTGATCACTGTTGGCATTTGTCTTTATGTCCTGTATACCTCTGCAGGTCTCGCTCTGTTCCCTGTCAGCTTGATCAAAACTGCGCCCTCGGTTTCTAGCCCAATGCTGCAGGCAACCACCGCACAGCAGCTGGAACTGAACCAGGAGCGTCAGCGTCAGCTTGAGGGCCGTTGTGGCGGCAACCCTGACCTGTTGTCATCCAAGGATCGCAGAGAGCTTGACACTCTCACACGGGAGGAGAGGACCTTGATTCGACGTCAACGTCTGATCGAAGATGCGCATGGTGAAGGACGCAGTTGGCTGATACTCGCGTGGCATAAGATCGGAGCCGTCTTCCGTCCCTTCAAACTCCTGAGTGGGATTCTGCTTCTTTTGATAGCTGTCGTGGTTTGGGTGTCAATGCTCTTGACCTCGATCGACAAAGCCAAAAACTCAGTTTGCAAACACCGTTGTGGCTATATCCTCGGCCATATTAACGTGTTCAACCCCGTGAACTGGATTTTGGTCCTTTCTGCCAAGGTCTTCCCAGTGGATTACGCCATCTTCACGGCTCTCATCTTGCTTCTGTTCTGCAGTTCCGTGGTGGGAATTGCCGTGGTTGGTATCCGTTTCCTGTGGATTCGCATTTTCCAAATCCGCAAAGGTCATACGTCCCCGCAGGCTCTCCTTTTAGCGACTGCTATGCTGATGCTTATCATCCTGGCCCTCAACTACTCTGTCTCGATGGTCGTTGCCCCTGGATATGCCACATATGGTCCCCAGACTTTCTGTGATCGCACTCCCAGCTCACCCGGTGAGCAACCTGATTGCACTAATAGCATGGATCTTATCAAGCCATGTTCCGAGCTTGCGGAAAATCCAGCAGCTCGCTCGGTATGCACACCCAGTGTGGCCAGCACGTTCCTGAATCGGGTGACTATTAACTTCCCATTCTTTGGCGTGGTGTTCTTCTGGGCTCAATTCGTCTTCCTCGGTACGTTAAACCCACACCTGAAGTTTCCCATCATTTTGAGAGATGTCAAACGCTGACTAGCCACATTAACAGGTGTCTATCTCATTGTCTTCATGACCACTCTCTTCCGGGCACCCAAGCTTGATGAGCAACAACTTGATGAAGATGCTGAGGAAGCGGAAGAGGAGGGTCTTCTGGCTAGTACTGGCAGACGATTTGGAGCTACTTGGCAAGACATCACTGGGAGAGCTAATCGCACCTGATGATTCCGTACCATGGCTTTGATCACTCACCAGAGCTGCCGCCCATGGCCACCACGCACAAACTTGCCATGTTTCCCTGGACTGTAAGGCTAATATACGATTTATGTGTTGTTGATTTTATCCATGATGACAATTAAACATGAGTCGATTAAGACGCCGGTGCGTATGCGAAGTAAGACAGAGATAATGTATGAAATGAATGGCATCGACTGGTCTGCTAATACGCCCACTCACGCATGCGCTGGGCCCAGGCAGATCAGGACGTCATTCTGGCGAGCATAGTTTCAAACCCTCATCTGCTCGTTGAGCAAGGCCAAAGCACTCTGGAAAGCCTTCACAACGTCCGCGTCTGAGGTGGCGATGACTTGTTAGCTCGCTGATTCCTTAAGCCATGATGAGTGGGAAGCATACAATGTTTCTTCTTGCTCTCCAGGCCCACTTCAGAATTTTGCACATGCTGCATTTGCGTCTTAAATCTGTACAGAGTTAATGAGATGTTACAACACTATCAGCACCCGGTGGTCCAGACTCAATTTGAACTAACCGCTTCAAAGCACGTTTCTCGTCTTGTATGATAGTTGTCTGGGACCATGTTGAGAAAATCTGTGTTCGAATAAGTAAAAGTCGCTCATCAACCACACGGTATATCAATGACCGAACCTCAAGCAATTTCGCCGTCTCGGCACGCAAGTTATCTTCAGCGTGACTGTGCTCGTCCATCGCTTCCATGTACCTGTCTTGTAGTTCTTCCCAGTTGCAGTCTTCGAGCCCTCGAGTCAGCTGAACAGTGAGGGTAAAATCATCATTTTTAGAGGACGACTGCACTGAACCAAAGCTGTGTTGACCATGCGAGTCCACCGTGGAGGATGGCGGCGTTGCTTTTTTTGGGCTTCCCTGTCGAGACATTGTCAAAGACGCTGCCTCCGGCCAGGGCGTGCTCAAAGATGGTTCAAGCAAGATCGTCGGACGGTGAGCCTTCGACTTTGATCGGACTACCAAAAACTGTCGCTAGTGGCTTGAGATAAGGTTGCTTTCACATGTTTTGACATTGCCCACTGTGGAGATCATCTGGACCGCTCCAAAGCGGGAGGCTCGTCAGGTGACGACATTGCAACAGGCGGATTCCCGACAACCGCAGTTCTTTAGAACAACACTCCCTTCGTCTATGGTCATCGGTGGCAGCTCTGGTAGCTTCCTCGACACACCATGGAAGCACTGCTTTTGTCGCATCACCTTATACACTTTCTTCACCCTCTGCGATGAGCTGTTTCGTATGCAGTTCAGCCCACTCCCGCCAGCCGTTCCTGTGCCCGACATGTGCCCGCAACCAACTATATCCCCTCCGCCTCGAGAATGCCAAGATTATTTTGGAGAAAGAGCGCCTTGGACGTGAGATAGAGGCTTCAGTCTCTATAGAGAGCGCGTCCCCATCAAGCTCAGTACCCGAGCAAGCTCACCTACGGCAGACTGGAAAGTCGCCGGCTTGGACATTACAAACGGTGTCCGGTCTCCAGGCATCTTCGTCCGCCAGAAAGGACGATCTCAGGCGGCAGATTGAAGTCTTGAAACAAGAGATCAATACTAAGAGGAGAGACATCTCGGAGCGTCGAGCGGTCTTATCCCGGAGACGTTCCGACGCTGAATCGGCGCAATACGAACTGGCAGAGCGGGAGGCTTCCGTCTTGACTGGCCTTCAGAACACGATCAAGAGGACGGAGCACCTGTGGCATACTCTTCACAGCAAGACTGCAGAGGCACGTATATATCTCTGTCGCGAAGCAGCCCACTTGTACGGTCTGAGACAGCGGACCTCGAGGAAGAGTGACGGCCAACACAACTACATGCTTGGAGGTCTGGGTGTTATTGACCTGAAAGACATGAATGGTATGCCAGACTCATGGTGCATCTGCGAGCGATGTATTGCTAACAATTCTTATAGGAGCGAATCCTGCGCAACTATCCACCTCTCTCTCCAACGTTGCCCGTCTTCTGGTTCTTGTCTCTCACTACCTCTCTTTGAGACTTCCCGCGGAGATTACTCTTCCTCATCGCAATCACCCTACTACTACCATCTACACTCTTGCCGCCTCGTATTCTTCTCGAAATCTCTCTGAGGGGTTTGCAAATGCCAACTTCGCCTCATACAGCCCCGCGGGATCCAGAACCGAGCTCCGTACTCACTCTCGTCCTAGACCCCTTTTCATTGACACGCCTCTTCCTCGACTGGCCAAGGAAGATCCTGGCGCGTATGCTTTGTTCTTAGAAGGGGTCTCACTCCTCGCTTGGGATGCTGCCTGGCTGTGCAGGACCCAAGGAATCAACCTCAATCTCGACTCATGGGAGGATATCTGCAATATTGGGAAGGGAATGTGGCAGCTGCTTGTCGCCCCGCCCGCGCAAGCATCCACTTTGATGCGAGCCTTTGCTGGCCGAGATACGCAAAAAATGAAGCTCAATAAAGACTCACCGCAAACGACAATTCAACGCCACAAATCCTTTCCTATGCTCGGCCATTATTCTCATGGTACGGCTCACTCGTTCCTCGCGGCATCCGAGGGAGTGGACTTCATGCGGACGTGGAAGCTGCCCACGCCGACTAAGATTGCGGACAAGCTGAAGGCTACGCTGCTGGGGGAAATGGCGAGCGCTGAATGGGAGATGTTAGATGAGAAGGAGTGGTTCGAGGGACCTGTGGACGACAACAAACAAAAGCAACTTGACTCGCAAGATTTAACCAGCCATCCTTCCACCTCTACTGCCACACCTAGCGAGAGCGATGCAGCAAATCCCCCGGCCTCTACGCCGACGACAGAGGAGCCTCGCCGACCGAAGGGAACAAGTGGCTGGACAAAACTGAACAATCGATGATTCAAGCACATATAAAGCCTACATTGATCTTGTGCCATGACGAACAGAGGCCATACTACTCAATACCATACTATTAGAGGGCTCTCGGTGCTGTAGGCTCAGCTGTGTCCTGCATGGCTCTCTTCTTGGTTCTGCCTCTCATTGTGAGGGACTAGCACAACCTTGTCGGCGATCTAATGAAGATCGTCATACATAGCCCCGTATTAGCGATTGATCTATGTTGTTCTTTTCCTTTGTCAATAGTAGCCGATACTCTCCAGCCACATACTCATTGCTGTTAAAGCACAGGTCACTTTCATACTAGCAGACTGATGAATATCAGATATTGGCCCCTATACTTTCAAAGTACCGCACCCGGCGTTACTAAGCCGAGATAATGACGGGAGTGTAGGGGGGAGGCTCGGCCCAGGCTGCTGTTCCCGGCCTGGCGGATCAAAAGCATCCTCGTGGTCCGCCGAACGCCGACCGAATTTACCCAGAGAAAAACATGAGCTTCGGACAATAGCAGCCTGCCTTCACCACTTGGGACGAGCATTCATACTGTAAAATCTGATTTTAGCGTGTCTGGTCTCTTTGATTCAAGCTTTCTGCGCTCGCCAGTGACAGCTTGCGCTGGTGATGCGATCTGGACCGAGCGGTTTTCGATTCTCCCGATTCAAAGATGCAGAATGCCCACACGTGGCAGGACACAGGCCTAGGGTCAATAGGTCAGTGACTTACTCTTCAGATTGCATGAAATCTGTTCAATGGCATCAGGACTCACATTCTGTGGTTGCAGACCTCAAGCGAGCTCTCTCTGCTATATCCGACATCCCTGAATCATTATTGCGGGCAGAGCTGCAGCGACGGAATGACATTCGATCCTCAGATCCGACCAACGGGGCTTCCACCTGTGGCTCAGGGAAGCGAGGCGATTATAATACCGGTCTCCATGTCATGGCCCTATTCTTAATCCTGGGATTGAGTACATTCGGTGAGTCGCAGCCTAGACCTCAACGGGGATGCCCTGACCGTTCCGGACTCCTCCTCAAATGCTCCTTTACTGTTTCAAAACGCATGCTAACGTATGTTATCTATAATCTTGCAGCTTGCTCATTCCCCGTCCTTGCACGCCGGTTTCCTGGTCTTCCAATTCCGCGTCGGTTCCTTTTCATTTCGAGGCACTTTGGCACGGGCGTTTTGATTGCGACAGCCTTCGTCCATCTCCTTCCTACTGCGTTTGTCTCATTGACCGATCCGTGTCTGCCGCGATTTTGGAGCCGGACATATCGCGCTATGGCGGGCTTTGTGGCCATGGTCTCCGTGTTTGCGGTGGTATTGGTAGAGATGTTCTTCGCAATGAAAGGCGCGGGCCATGTGCACGGAACGGATTATGATACGCTGATGGGGGATAACAACGGCCGCGATTCAATGGATGACTTTCAGAATAACGAGTCCAGCTATGGACACTTGGGAGCCAGGAGTCCATCGGGCAATGTGTTCATGGAAAGTCTTCGGCAGAGCGATGATCGCGGCGGTGCTGAAAGGACTTCGGGCTCTTCACACGAACTGTTTCGCTCCTCTTTGAGTGCTGCGCGGCCTAAACCTAAAAGGGAGCAAATTGATGACGACGAGGATCTAGATGATGACATCGAGGGTCTTGATCCCTACGCCGACGACATCCCAATCAATGGCCAAGCACAACAATCCATGAACTCTCGCAACCGTCACCACACATCAGGGGGCGACCTTACTTTCCAAACCCACGATGAGATGGGCTCACCGCTGCAAAACCCCCAGCGCCAGCTCTTACAATGTCTACTCCTCGAAGCAGGCATTCTGTTCCACAGTATCTTCATCGGAATGGCCCTCAGTGTCGCCACAGGCACATCATTCGTGGTCCTTCTCATCGCTATCAGCTTCCACCAGACCTTCGAAGGCTTTGCGCTAGGCTCACGTATCGCTGGACTCATCCCCGACCTCTTCTCACCCTCATCTCCAAAACCGTGGCTCATGTGCCTGGCCTACGGAACAACCACCCCAATCGGCCAGGCCATCGGACTAGTCCTACACAATCTTTACGACCCTGCTAGTGCGACGGGCCTGCTGATGGTGGGAATCACCAATGCAATTAGTAGCGGGTTACTGCTTTTTGCCGGGCTGGTCGAGTTGTTGGCGGAGGACTTTTTGAGCGAGTCGAGCTATGCTACCTTGAAGGGCAGGAGGCGTGTCGAGGCTTGTATTTCGGTCGCTTGTGGGGCGCTTCTTATGGCCTTTGTGGGCGCATTTGCATGATTGAATTGTGATGATATTGATTTTAGAGGTTATGTACATTTTGAGCCGGCTCTCGTGGAGCAGTATTTTGAAGAAAGGAATGAACTGAATTAGATATGTGTATCAGTGCACTGGTAATCCCTAACTTAAAGGTATCATTGGCAGTGGAAGAAATTGCAATTCGAGAGACATTCGCAGTCAGCATCCATCATGCGCTGATGAGACGAACCGCAATTTCCACTACCTCGGGCATAGGTACCTACTACCTACCACCTAGTGAGCTGAAAATTGGAACTCCAACGTGAGGTGCGAGTTATCCACGTGCATTTTCGTCTCCGCATGTCTCGGGAGACGCCGACTTACATTGATCCACCTGGATCATCTTGTCAAAATTTACGACAGTGCGTTGGTCATGGAATATATTTTTGAAAATTTTGAATTTGAAATTAATACCCGTCAGCTATGACGGGAGGCTTAAAGCTATATCTGTTTTGGTATATGAATTGAGCGATCACACTGTTTCAGGGTGCCACCCACAAAGTCTTTCAGCACTTTGATAGTCATGTCATGTCGGTTCGTCATAAAAAAGCAATGCTTAGAAGAGAGACTCAAGCACCAAGGCGCTGGCACCGCCACCGCCATTGCAGATGCCAACGCAGCCGAGCTTGCCTCCGTTGGCCTTCAGGACACCAAGCAGAGTGGAGACAATACGAGCGCCGCTGGCACCGAGTGGGTGACCGATAGCGACGGCACCGCCGTGGATGTTGACTTTCTCCTCGGACAGACCCAGCAGCTTCATGTTGGCGAGAGCGACAACACTGAAGGCCTCGTTGATCTCAAAGGCATCGATGGAGTCCTGAGTCACGCCAGCGTGCTTCAGAGCCTTGGGAATCGCCAGAGCAGGCGCAGTAGTGAACTTGCTGGGCTTGTGCGCCGCCTCACCCCAGCCCAGGATCTTGGCAATGGGCTTGAGACCGAGCTCCTTGACCTTGGCCTCGGAGACCAGGACAACGGCGGCAGCGCCATCGTTGAGAGGAGAGGAATTTGGAGCAGTGACGGTACCGGTACCGGGGATGAAAGCGGGCTTCATGGCGCGGAGCTTGTCTGGGTTGAGCTGAGGGACCGTGAGTCAGTAAATTATGTCGTCTCGACTCAAATGCTCTTGTGAGGTAGGAGCCATGAAAAGCATAGTGACTTACGTTCTTGGGCTCGTCATCCTGAGAAACAGTCACACCGGGCTTGCCACGGAAGCCAGGGATCTCAATGGGAGCAATCTCGTAGTTGAAGGCACCGGCCTTCTGAGCGGCCTGGGCCTTCTGGTAGGTGCGGATGGCATACTCATCCTGCTGCTCACGGTTGAACCCGTGGTCCTGAGCACACTCCTCGGCGGCAAAGCCCATGAGCTCTTGCTTGCCGTAGGCATCCTGGAGGCCATCCTTCATGATTCCGTCGACCATTGTCTGGTTGCCGTACTTGGCACCGCCACGCAGAGTGGGCAAGTAGTGAGGAGTGTTGGACATGGACTCAGCACCACCGGCGACAACAATGTCGGCGTTACCAGTCATGATTGTCTGGGCTCCGAGAATAATAGCCTTCAGGCCCGAGGCGCAGACCTTGTTGACGGTAGTGCAGACGGTGGACTCCTGGAGCCCGGCGTGAATGGCACATTGACGAGCGGGGTTCTGACCAACACTGAACGTGGCATCCATGTTAGCTTCTGTTCTGCATCCTGGTTACATCAAACACATATGACTTGGACCTACCTAGCAGACAGGACATTTCCGAAGAAAACCTCCTCAACATCGGAAGCATTGATACCCTCGGCCCGCTCAACCGCCGCTAATTGTTTCCACTACAGTCAGTCTCAATTGTTCCAAAGTGAAGAAGGTCTTGCAGTAAGTTCGTAATACATACCTTTGATGGCATGAGCACCAAGCTGAGGGGCAGCAAGGCTTGACAGGGAGCTATACAGTTGTGTCAGTTTGACCGCCAGAATAAGAAGTTTATGGGGGGTAGCTTTACCCAAGGAACGAGCCCACTGGAGTACGGGCCGTTGAGACAATGTAAACTGGAGGAAGAGAAGACATTTTGTTGCAAGGGTATAACAGGAATCAAAAGAAGAAAGTAGTGAGAGAGGGTATCAATCGATCACAGAGGGAAGAGTGAGCGTAAAGGGGCGATGGGCCTTGACATATAAATAAAGGCAAAGTGGGGAGTGAGGAGCTGTACGGTGTAGGCACGAGTACTTTGAGTACTTCGTTGTTATCTGGCGGGTACCTCGACCGGTCGCCGAGATGGAAACCGTGCCAAGTACCTCCCGCAGCTGCTCGCGACTCCTGCACCAGCAGAGCGGGTACCATTAGTGCTGCCGCTCTGTACTTCTGTAGTCCGCACTCAGCAGTCCGTCCGCAACCCGCAGTTTGCCAGTTGGTGAACAGCTTGTTTTTGGATTTTCACCGCTTTTGATATTGCCGTCCGCGACAGACCGGACCCACCGAAAGTTGCAAGCCGTTCCACGCTCCGCCGTCACGCCAGTTGCTTGGGGATTCTGCCACTGATCAATTTTCTCTGATCTTGTCATAAATTCACACAGACTGGCCCATCATGGATGACCTATATGATGAGTAAGATTCTCTTCCATATATTTAACAACACAATCACGTCCAGTTCAACGCTAATCGAAGCTTTTTTTTCGCAGGTTCGGTAATTACATCGGTGAAGCCGAGTCCGATGAGGAGCAGCAGGAGCAGGTCCCTCAGGCTTTCAAGTTCGATGAAGCCTTTGAAGATGATGAAGAAGAGTCGGTGGTCAATGACCAGCAGTTAATGGAAGTTGATGGTAAGATCTGTTCGCGTTCGCCGGAGATGAAAGTTCGCGACGGCAGGTTGAGCCCCAATGTGCTAATTTGCGCCTGGCATACAGATGGTCCTTCAAATGCGGTCATCCTCCATGAAGATAAGCAATACTATCCCAGCGCACAGCAAGTATATGGTGAAGATGTCGAGACTATGGTCCAAGAAGAAGATGCGCAGCCGCTGTCCGAGCCGATAATTGCGCCAGTCACCAAGAAGAAATTTGCGATTGCGGAGACAGAGCTTCCTCCCGTCTATTACTCGCGAGAGTTTATGTCAGATCTGCTCAACTTCCCGGATCAAATACGAAACGTTGCTGTGGTGGGCCACTTGCACCATGGCAAGACAGCGTTCATGGACATGTTGGTCCGACAAACACACGACTTGTCCGCGCGATTGGAGAAACGCCAAGGCAAGCGCAAGGAAGAGCAACTGCGTTACACCGACATTCACTTCTTGGAACGTGAGAGAGGTGTCTCCATCAAGGCCGCGCCAATGAGTTTGGTGCTCCAAGGAACCAAGGGAAAGTCTCACCTGGTCAACATTATTGATACCCCAGGCCACGTGAACTTTGTGGATGAAGTTGCTTCATCAATCCGCCTGGTGGATGGTGTCGTTTTGGTGGTGGATGTTGTGGAAGGCGTACAAGCGAATACGGAGCAGATCGTCAAGCATGCTGTTTTGGAGGATCTTCCACTGACGTTGGTGGTGAACAAGATGGATAGGCTCATTCTGGAACTCAAACTTCCACCCAATGACGCCTACTTCAAGCTCAAGCATGTGATTGAAGAAGTTAACACTCTTATTGAAAGCATTGTTCCTGGTCAGGGTGAACGGCGACGTTTGAGCCCGGAGAAGGGCAACGTCGCATTTGCTTCAAGCTCTATGAATTGGTGCTTCACTCTCGAGTCATTTGCTCGTATGTACGCCGATACGTATCCCAAACTGGATTCCGCCGAGTTCGCAGCCCGCCTCTGGGGCGACATCTTCTACAACCCCCGGAGTCGCAAGTTCACCCGCAAAGGCGTCGAGGAAAACTCAAAGCGTGCCTTTGTGAAATTCATCTTGGAGCCTATCTACAAGCTCTATTCGCACACAATCAGTGAAAGTCCAGAAGACTTGAAGCGGACGTTGGCTAGTGTGGGTGTCCATCTGAAACCATCTCAACTAAAGACCGACGCAGCTGAGCTGCTCAGACTGGTGTGCGATCAGTTCTTTGGAGCTCCCACCGGATTTGTGGATATGATTGTGCAGCACGTGCCTTCACCCGTGGACGGCTCTCAAAGATTGTTGGAACGATACTACACCGGTCCGACGGACACTAAGGTTGCCGCGTCCATGTCTAACTGTGATTCGGATGGACCATTGGTTGTTCATGTTACCAAACTCTTCGGTACTGTCGATGCCAGCGGGTTCAACTCTTTCGGTCGTATTCTGAGTGGTACCGCTCGGCCTGGGCAACAGGTTCGTGTTCTGGGAGAGGGATACACCCCGGACGATGAAGAGGACATGGTGATTGCGACTATTTCGGATACGTGGATTGCAAACACATGCTACAATATCTCTACCGATGGCGTGCCGGCCGGTAACTGGGTCCTGTTGGGCGGCGTTGATAATTCCATCGTGAAGACGGCCACGCTTGTGGCTCTAAAGTTGGAAGATGACGAAGAACCATACATTTTCCGTCCTATTCGTCATATGACGGAGTCCGTCTTCAAGGTGGCGGTGGAGCCTGTGAACCCCTCTGAGCTTCCCAAGATGCTGGATGGATTGAGGAAGGTCAACAAAAGTTATCCACTCATTTCAACAAAGGTTGAGGAATCTGGTGAGCACATTGTTTTGGGAACGGGCGAACTTTACATGGACTGCGTTCTTCATGACCTTCGGCGATTATATTCAGAGATGGAAATCAAGGTTTCCGATCCGGTCACGCGCTTCTGCGAGACCGTGGTTGAGACCTCGGCCATCATGTGTTACTCCATCACGCCAAACAAGAAAAACAAGATCACCATGATCGCTGAACCGCTCGACGACGGGATCGCTGAGGATATTGAGAGCGGGAAAGTCAGCATCAAGGACCCCATCCGTAAGGTGGCACGCTATTTCGAAGATAATTACGACTGGGACAAGCTTGCAGCTCGAAGCATTTGGGCCTTTGGTCCGGAGGAAATGGGTCCCAATATCTTGCAAGACGATACGTTACCTTCGCAGGTGGATAAGAAGCTTCTTGGAACTGTCCGAGACTCGATCACGCAGGGCTTCAGCTGGGGCACGAGAGAGGGTCCCCTATGTGAAGAACGTGAGTTGAACTCCATCCCTCCCTTGAACGTTCCGTATTTGCAGGAACCTTTGTGCATGTTTTTTTTTCTTTGTGAAGTCCGCTCGCATACTAACTGGCCTTGTCGCAGCTATTCGAAACACCAAATTCCGACTTACTGATGTATCCCTTGCGGATCAAGCCATTTACCGTGGCGGTGGCCAAATCATTCCCACTGCCCGTCGGGCCGTTTACTCTTCCTTCCTGATGGCTTCCCCTCGATTGATGGAACCCATCTACGCCTGCACGATGACCGGTCCCGCCGACGCCGTGGCCTCGGTCTACACCGTCCTCTCCCGCCGCCGTGGTCACGTCCTGTCCGACGGGCCCATTGCCGGTACTCCGCTCTACTCGGTCCGCGGCTTGATCCCCGTGATCGACTCCTTCGGCTTTGAGACCGACTTGCGCATCCACACTCAAGGCCAGGCTATGGTGAGTCTCGTGTTTGACAAGTGGAGCGTCGTCCCCGGGGATCCCCTGGATCGGGACGTGAAGCTGAAGCCTCTGGAGGTGGCTAGTGCCATGGCCACCGCGCGGGACTTTGTACTGAAGACTCGGCGTCGCAAGGGTCTGGCGGAAGATGTCACCGTCAGCAAATTCCTGGAACCTGAGTTGTGGAAGGGTCTGCAAGAGAGTGGTGTTCTGGATTCATAATAATGAGTGTATGCTTGTTCTTGGGGGCCTTGGATATATCGGGTTACTGTAAGATAAAAACGACATGCAATTTCATTTATTTTCCACATGATTTCTTAATGAGTATTTCCAGGGACGGGAGGCTTCCGGGGGGGGGGGGGGGGGGGTGTTCCTTTGATTTTTGGATCGTGTGTCTATGAATTGTATAGCATTGCCATGTAAGGGTCATGGAGTCTATGGGATAATGGGGTATAAGGTACACAATAACTGTGTATCTTGTGGTGTGAGTTCAGTTGAAAGAGTCTTGGGTGAAATTAAGATATTTTCTCATAGTGTCTCAGTCGCGTGGCTACTCTAATTGATGGCATCATAACAGCGTTCAAGGTTGCTATCTGCAAATCGATAGCCGCAACAAGAAATGCCCCCACTGGAAGTCGCGGCGTCCAAATCAAGACCGAGTACCAAGGTGCTCCATCAAAGACAGACTGGACGTGGCTTCGTGGCCACGGAACCGCATGAATACCCGGGCTAAATAAATAATATACAAAGAACAAAACCGGCCCACGACTCGTGTGATCAATCTCTTCACTGACAAGTCTCCATCATTTTCGCAATCACCTGCATCAACGCACCATTCTCCAACGCGGCCGCAACCCGCTCCTTATCTCCCAATTGCTTATTCACTTCATCGCCGGTACTGTGCGTACCCTCTTTGATCCGTACGTCGACTCGGAACCGCGGTGGGAGCGATTGTTCCAAGCGCACTCGGACTCCGAGGCCGATGACGGTGGCTAGACTGCAGTGGGTGATAGTGGGGGTGATGAGCACAGTGACTGTTTGCAGCGGCGAGTTGGGGACCGCAGGGAGCGTTGGCTTGATGTATATGTCTGGTAGTGAGACAACGGCTAATTCGCCGAGGGAGAGGGGATGTTCGGGGTCTGAGATGTTTTTGATGAGATCTGCATAGTTGGTGGACAGGGGCCATTGTGGGTTAGTCTGTGATCTGTACTCTGTACTTTGTCGAGAGCTATGAATCGATCGATCGATTGACACTGCGATGGGGGCCGTGGGGACAGGGACAGGGACAGGGACGGGGACGGGGACGGGGACGGGGACGGGGAACGGGAGGATGGAGGCTGGAGGATGGGGCACTAGAATAGAGCAGAGTGCATAGTGAGGTAGAGAGAGAGGAAAGGGGGGCTATAGGGGAGGTGAGGTGAGGGGTTGAAGGCACGAGTGTATGTATTGCATCTCCATCGCATCTGGATGTGGCGTGGGAGCGTGCGTGAGGATATGCGGGGGCGGGAATAAGAACGAGAGACTTGGGGGAACAGAATGCGGACGGTGGTTTTTAGAAAGCGAGTGATTGGTCCTGTCTGAACCCTTGTTCTGTCATACCGAAGATTTCTTGTTCGTCAATTGGTTCCTCTAGCAGGTCCTCGTCTCCTTCTGAATCGGACGAGAAGAAATCGGCGGGTTGGGGGACTGCGGCGAAGATGCCGAGCTTGTGATCGCCTTGCTTCTTCTCGGTGGATCTGGACCGTGTGGGCAGGTCTGCTGCGCTGAGGATGGTAGGGTTGGAGTTTTGAACCTCGGCCATGGTGTGAGTGTTGTTGCTGATAGGTGAAGTATAATGTTGCAAGAGTTGTTGATGCGCGTGGCCTTGGGAAAATGATTCTCGATGCGCGATGTGCTGTGTCACCGGAGATAAGATGGACTACGGAGGGGCAAAAGAAAACGTGACGACGATCGATAAGCGATAAGGGTCCCGATAAGGGGATCGAGGGGAGATTGTGATTTTGTGTGCCTCAGGCTACAGAGTCCTTCCCGGCACGTACTTGATAAGCAACGTTAAGCGATAAGCATAGGATCTTGACGACTGCCCAGTGCCCGATGCCAACTCGTGGAGCTCGCCCTGAGACCGAGTCGATCGATGGAAAGGCGGCTCGCCAGCTCACGTGAATCCAAGCCTTCATCTTCTCGGGAGATCCTCGGTTTTTTTGTTGTTTGTTCCACAACGTACCACACTCACAGTACCTGAACTGTACTTGCGTCAAGAAAATAAAAATGGGGCCAAAATCTGCGCAGGATTTCCAGTCACCCACTGTTTTTCCAGTTCTGTAGAAATAATGTACGTACGAAATTCAAATCTCGTGCCTCTTTCAGCGTCCCTTGAGATTGGACGACAATCTCCGGAAAAGGCCCCTGCTTCAATTGCCCGGTGCCCAGCGAATCTGATGACCCAAATACATGACTTGATAGCCATGGGCCGAGGGAGTCCTACAATACTAAACCACTGGTATGGAATTTGCCATGGACGTCGCGGCAAAAATGCGAACCCAATGGCTCGCAAGACCACTCCGTCAAATCAAGTTCTTGACATGTGGTGGCTCAGGCTATATTGGCCGTTGGCCACTCAGTAGCGATCGGTGATCACGATCGTGGAGGTAATGCAGGCGCTATGTGATTGATTGGCGATTTGGGCGTCTTGTCCATCTGCCAATGAATTGCTGAAGGCCTCTCTGCTCGAGTTGTCAAAATGATTCCACACCACACCCTTTCTGGCGCAATTCATTACCACAGTGCATTCCATTCGAGTTTGTCTTTTGGTTGTTTGGTACAGAAGCTATGACTTGGACCCAGACATCTCGGACGAAGATACTGGTCGAGCAGCACGAACCCTGACAGAAGTTCAGAGGTATATAGTCACTTACTAGGATGTACTATGTAGTATAACTATGTACTATGTATACCCTAGCCCCTAGCTCTGGTTCACGTCGATCTGATGTGGAAAGTCAATTTCATTTGCAGGCTCCCCGCCATCCCGGAAGAACCTCGCAAGCCAACAGTGCGGTATTTACCATTAGCCTGGCGGCGACCAAAAAGATCGACAGGCGTTGGCTGAAACCTGGCTATCATCGTTATTCGGCGCCTGTAGGATTGTGGGTAAGCATCAGCCTGGAGGCCTGAGCAGGCACTAAAGGCGCTAGTCTGGGCATTACTCAGCTCATATTATCCATATGCTTCATTGCTTCCCCGTCTCCTCTGAAGGGGAGTACGGCAGTCATAGGGCCGCGTTTGCATACTCCAGCCTCCCACACTCCGCAGTAGTGCCCCCGCCCTCTCAGGCTTTCGGTGTTTGCTTACGGACATTTTCAGTGTCGGTGGCAACTTGTTCCTTGCAGGTTCGATCCCAAGGATTTGTAATTGGAGTATAGTCTGCGCTCGGCAGTATGCAGTCCTCTTCTCGAGTTCTCACCCTTGACCTATAGTATAGAGTCATAGACTATACAGTGTACACTATACAGTACCATTGATGGAGCGCGGAGAGCGCACGAGCTGGCTGACAGACCTGCCTATGCCCGGATGCCATTATGCTCCCGTCCTGCCTTGCTTTTTTCCCTGGTTCTGTTTTCGAAGACGTCGATACTAACTCTGCCGAGGCCGAGTCGATCAGGGTGAATGGCGTTTCAACGCAGAATCTAGAGCAGCCGACTGCATCCAGTCATGCATGATGACCGTGGCGGAAAGAATATAACCGGTGGAACACCGAGAGGCTGGGGCCCTGCTTGCATCCTTGTCATCCTCGTCCCACGCGCGAGTCAATCGGGTCAATCAAATCGACTTTGGGAGTGACGCCGCCGTCGGAAATTCGGTGCTAACTCATCTGGAGATCGGTCGCAGGAAGAGCATGTCGAGGACGAATGACCAGGGCCACTCTTGATCATGGTCCTGTGCCAAAGCGTCGAGTCAGTTTCTTAGGGCTGTCGCTAGAGGACTAGGCTGGTAGACATAAGACACCATAGCGACAGAAGTACTGGACGGGGACGAGACTAGACTGTTTTTCTCATGCGCTTGTCAAATCTTGGCATTGCATGTGATAGAGAGTTTCTCGTCACTCTGCGGGTTGTGGTCCCGTCGCTTGATAGAAAGCTCAAAGCTCAAGCTGTCCTCCCCAGTCCTACTGTCCATCGTTCAAACTGGAACAAAAATACCTCCCATGGATCAGTGATAGGGTTTGCCTCCTTCAACAACAATCTGTCCCTTTTATCCGACGAGTTGAGTTTCTCCACTCCACTCAATAATTCCGAGACGATCCACTATTTATCGACCTCCATTCATCTCCAGTTCGATCGTCCGTCACGAACATGGCTAGCATCTAGCGTGAAGCTGGTCTGTTTGGACGGCGGAGACAGTTCTGTAGACAGCGCCTTCCTCGGAATGGACCGGTATGAAGTGGCCATCTTCCATATGGGTACCGACCAAAAGGTAAAACCATGGGCCAGAGTGGAAGAAACGAGTGGACTTGCCCGCTTGTGCGGACGTGAGACAGTCAGCGCCACCGCACCAGTAATGCCTGCGGCAACAGGCGACGAGATGAATATCTAGGTTTGACACAATAATGCCTACAGACGATATGTTGCGAGAACCTAAAGCAGTGTACGAGCAGCAAGATCCTGAGTAGTGAGTAAGTCCGTGGTGAGAGAACGTCATGCAACGTGAGACGACATGCTTCCCATCTGAAGGCTCAGCCCGGGATATCGTCCATTCGTCGCATCTCGGCTTATCTTATTTTGCGCCAGATGGCCTACCTCTTACCCCTTCCCAGGTAAAGAATGGAGAAAATACCGGACCGACCCAAGTGTATGATCATGTCATATATGCTTCAGGAGTTGAGTTTTCCAGAAAATCCTCCTGCAAGCCTCTCTCCACCCGCTGGACAAACTTTAAACCCAAAGTGGCTGCGGGCTGGTTCCTGGCACAGTGAGATTCCCATCTCTTGCCTTCTTGAACATGAAGCTGACCTCTTCGTGAATTCGAACTTTTGACACAAATGGCTCGTCGGCTGTGTCTGTACCCTGTACACCTTGTTTTGCCTTCAAAGACCCCTGGCCTAGGTGGTACCCCATGATCAAACATGGCGCAGTGGACGTCACAGGCCTAGACTATGGCGTTGATCCAGAACAGACTAAAACCCCCAGGAAAGTGCCGAAGACTCCCTCCCGTACAGTAGTAGCTGGTCAATGCATCCGGGAGGTTTCCAAGGACTTGGGCATTGGCGCCGATATAGATTGCCATCGGCTCATCGGGTTTGTGAACAGGTAATGATATGTGCCCGACTGGCCGTCATTGGAACTCGGAGTGTAGAGCTAGGGCGAGAAGGGCAAGGGAGGCGGGCGCGGCAAATCCTTCGGTCCATTCAGAGGAATGTTTTCTTCGTGAAGTTGCTTCTGTCAGTAGGGCCCGATCGACAGGGAATCTGGACTTCTGATGTGCTGGTGGTCAGACAAGCTTGAAGGATGGTGGTCGAGTAGTCGTCGACTCGCCTGGGTTAGATCTGTGGGGTTTGCCGGATCCGTGCAGTCAAGACAGTGATCGTCCTTCTTCCGCCTATCGTGATGTTTGTCCTTCTCATTGTCTCAATGTTGACCCAGCTTTGATCCCTATTTTCAAACTTCTCTTCAGATACTACCGTATACTCACGTCGTTGAATGTTATGATGGCTCGCCTTCGTCTGAGCCCATGGCACGGCACCGACAAAGTTTCAAACTTCCAATTTAACCTCGGCCCGTCGAGCCTCACCGCTGGTTGTTTTGAGGGTGGGTTGTGCTTTTGTTTTTTCTTTCTTTTTTCTTCGCCGCTTTCAATTAGTTCTGTCTTACTCTCATACTCTAATTTGTGTGTGATTCCCACCACGGATTAATTGGCGTCTGCCATGCAGGACGCCTAGTGCAGCAATTCAACGGCGGAGTCGGGAGTCGGGAGTCGGGAGGGTCTGTGGGAGATCTGGTTCACCATCACTATTTGGACATAGTCAGAGTCAGAGTCATCGGACTCTTGCTCGTCGCCCATTGACGTCGATATCGACTCATTTACGTCTAACCCTTTCTCCGCGGTAGCTTATAGACTATACATGGAGGTTGCCCCCGGCCAGCCCCGAGTTTTCGGCAGGGCAAATCGAAATAGATTAACGGGTATATGTTCATCGTACGAATCTTCCAATTGGAAGGGAGACATTTGGACAAGTTTTGCTGCACCTCGGAACAGGGGAGGGGCCTAGTCCAGTCCAGCTCAGGCTGACGATCACCTGGCCGCGAACAACAATTGACTACGGTGAAGACATCAATGTCTCAGCCACAGACAGATCGTAAACGTATCGAGAAGGGAATCAAAAGGGGAAGAACACAAAGTTCCACGCCGTTGAGGAAAGTCTGCGGTCGGCGGCTAGAGCGCAGTACAGCAGTATCGACACGGACACAGTGGATGTGGAAACCGGGCGCTTATTGAGATGAATACGGCATGGTCACGGATAGATAGACTTGACCTGGGCGTAGGTGGAGGAACTCGTTTTCCTACGAAATATTTCTTTGGGTTCCATGACTTTTTGTATTGGCCGTGGCGAGTCCGATACTCATTAGTCAATCAGTAGTTCAGTACTGTAGGGGTTCAGTCTGGGTGGCACTGGCCGTAGCCCTGTAACCAGAAGTCGAGCGACAACATTCGAAAGACTCGGGTTCGATGTGCGAAAGGCGCCTGAACTGGTGCTGGTGAATGCCTGTTTGGACCCAGGCATATGGACCGTACATTCCACGTGCCAGA